ATAGATCTGGTTTGACCCACTCGCACAGGAAGGACTCCTACTCTTTCTATAAGTCTGGATGTTCTTTAACATTCTTGTGTGGCTGACATGGGATCTCCATTTAATGTCCTATCTGATGGACCTTCCCAGTTGGAACTAAGTATTTTCAGTGTCGAGTGAGGAAATTGTTGTAAAGGGTACAACATGGGGATCTGTGAGAGATTCAACCCCAGTACCTCTAGATCTTGCTTCTGAGGCAACAACGAATTCCTGACCGTTTTTTTGTCGACACTTGCAATTGTTTGGGAGAGAATGGGCTATTTGATAGACTTTTAGTACCTGATGTCAATGTTGACGAATCAAAATACCTCTAAAGTCTAAACCATAAATGTTCAGCGCAATAGTAAGACTTTCTGGCCAGTTGTTTTTGTTGACACTTGTTTTGGATGCTATTGGATGGCATTTCAGCACCTGATGTTAATTTTGACAAACCAAAATACATCTTCACCATAAAATTTCATCATAATAGTAAGAATTACTGGCCAATTGCTATTGTTTACACTTGTTTGGGAGAGAATAAGCTATGGGATGGCATTTCAGCACCCGACGATGATTTTCACTAAACCGTTTTATTTCTGTCCATTTTTTGCAGGCGGTCTCGCTGTGGCTGTGCCAGGTGCACTCAAAGGTCACATGGAGGCTCACAGACGCTACGGAAAGCTTCCCTGGGGTGATCTCTTACAGCCCGCGATCAAGCTAGCACGGTACGGAACCACCGTTAACAAGGCACTCGCAAAGGTGCTCAAAAAAGAGGAACACAAAATAAAGGCATCTCCTCTGCGAGACGTTTTTTTCGATAAAAACGGCAACGTACTTACGGAGGGCAAAAAGTACAAAATGTCTGCGTTGTCCCGAACGTTAGACAGTATAGCCAGGCACGGCGGGGATGTGTTTTATTCCGGAAACATCGCAACGAACCTCGTCGCAACTATCCAAAGCCAAGGCGGAATTATAACCAAAGATGATTCAAGAACTACAAAGTAGAGGTAACAAAGCCAAAATATTCAGAATTGAAGACGGCGGGTTTGAGAATGATTTCCACAGGTCCACCGGGTGGTGGGGCATTGTTCGAATTCATCCTCAAAACGTTAGAAAAATTCGAGCTGAACCCAAAAAGCCTTGAAGGGGAAAATTTGGCGTACACGTTGCAGAAGATAGCAGAGGTGTTCAAATTTGCTGCCGCAGAAAGAACACATTTAGGTGACCCACGTTTTGAAAACGTGGCTGGTGAAGTGGCTAAGCTAACATCTGATTCATTTGCCGAGAAAATCATGAGAAAAATCAGAGATCATGGACACCACACAAGCGACGACTCGAAAGGTTATTATGGGGCACAATTTTACAACGCAGGGGATGCAGGAACCACGCATCTTAACGTTCTTGCGGCAAACGGTGATGCTGTTGCGGTTACGAGCTCGATCAATTATTACTTCGGGTCGCGCGTTTATTCGCCGTCTACGGGAGTCATCCTTAACAACCAGATGATTGACTTCTCCAGCCCTGGTTTTCATAGAGACGACCTACACTTTCCAGAGTATTCCATGAATTTTATCAGGTCAGTGCAAGGTCTTCACTTTTATTATTGTATGCCTGCACAAGCTGTTATCAGTTTTACCTTGGTTGAGAAGGTTTTATTTTTGGATCTGTGTATTAATGTGTAAATAGCATAATTCAAGAAGTTGTAAATGGATTGACTAGGACCAGATGACTGTCACCATGGTAACTGGTGCTAGGTTACGCTATGTTGCAAGTGCCATGCAACTGAGTTCAAGAGGCTGCTGGTCACCATATATGAGTGTGTTTGAGTAAGAATGAACAAAGCAGTAGTTTGTTAAGCTCATGTGAAGGTAAATATTATGCATTTGCTTTGCAAATGTTACCTCTCTAGTTATCCAATAAATTAAGCGTTTCTTTCCCCCTCCCCAGACCAGGGAAGCGCCCGATGTCGTCCGTCTGCCCCACCATCATGATTGACAAGAACAAGAACGTGCAGGTGGTCATTGGAGCGTCAGGCGGCATGATGGTCCCTACAGCAGCCGCGATGGTGAGTTTTAACAAAGTTTAAGTCCTTCCCGCACAAGGTGATTCATAGGGCGGGGCCTATCTCCGTGTCAGTAGCCCTTGGGCCACACAATTGTGCAATTACTACAGCAGGGGGCTAGTCCACTGGTAGTGTTGAGTGTTTAACTCCCATACTCTTTCTCAATTGCTGAGTGCTAAGCAGAGAAATCAGTATGTACCATTTTAAAATCTTTGGTATGACTCGGCCGGGGATCAAACTCACGACCTACTGACTTGGGCATTTCACCAGTATGCTCAGTGAGAGATGATGTGAAAATATTTATGGTGAGGGTTTTTGACTCAGAATCTGAACTTCAAGGTTCTTGGTTCGATTCTCTGGCAAGCCCCACTGTTGTGCCTTTGGAAAAGCACTTTACACCGTTTTCTTCACTTGGCAGTGGTGAAAATGACATAGCTTCTGCTAGGGACATCCTTTTGGATATGACTGAAAGCTTTACGTCCCGAGAGATACACCTGAATTCGAAGTATGTGAAAGATCCCATCATTAATGAAAAGAGTAGGGGTCCTTCCCTGGTGTAGCCAGGCTAGGGGCCTAACCAGTGGAATGACTGCTAGAAGCATCATGTGGTCAGGCTAAATCCCTGCCAAATTTAGATGAATTCTACAAACATTTAAGTTAAAACTCTTGTTTTCTTGCAGGTTTTGCCAACATGCAGTGGTTTGGTATGAACCTGGCCGCGGCATTAGACAGCCCAAGAATCCACAGCCAGCTGGAGCCCAACATTCTGGACATGGAGCGGAAACTCTGGAACAACCACGAACTCGTGCACAAACTCTCGCTCTGGAACTACAACCCATCACCTGAGGTTTTCACTATACTAAGGGAGTTCGCCGTTGTGCAGGTTATATGGAGGAAGGGGACGGAAATACACGCGGGCAGCGATCCTCGAAAAGGGGGGAAACCAGCGGGGTACTGAGGGAGTGGTTCATTTTATGTCATACCTGGGTCATAACATTCGATACATTGTACGAAGTTTTCTGGACCCATCTGTGTTTTACTTTATAATGGTTGTAGTTATTTCACATGGGCTTCCATAGAAATAATCAAACCATTGCAATGAAAATTCAAATACCAGAGTCGGATGTTAGAATGAATGTTTTCTGTACATTCTTGGAGGGATGGTGCAAAATTTGAATAGCTCTTAAATAAAAGTTCATTTGGTAAGCTTTCAATTTGAATCCCTTTATTGAGATGACTTAAAATGTAAGAAATGAAGTTGTGCCTGGATTTCAGCACCAAGGACAACACTAGCTCTCATACACAACAACATGTGCACAGTTTTGGTGATGTCATGATCTCTGCTAGAACAAAAATAGTGCACAGGACTCAGTGATGTCAGCAAATGTAGGAAGGTAGTGCTTCACAATACCATGTTATTTATTCACCCATTTTTTTTTACAAAATCATCCAATTTATACATTTTTGGAAAATAGAGTAACTAGTAATTCAAACCTCTTAAAAAACATCAAAACCTCTTATAGTTTGTCTGTCCAGCATTGGACAATATTTCCCTGGGAAAAGTTAAGCCTTTTTTACTTTGAATTTGGACAAAGTGTTCGATATTTTCATGATGTAACGTTACATGTATATTCCAAGGAAGTTGTGATTTTTCTAAATTTTTCAACATTTGTGTATTTTGATCATCACAAACTAGATCCCTATACATGGATGTAATTTGGTTTGCAGATGAATTATAATTTTGCAATGTTTAGCAAAGTGTGAATGTACCAAAGTGCCTACCATGTGCCGTGCATTGACAATCAAGAATTACTAAATAGGTGACGGTGACAGTGAAGAGGTGATTGTGATATGGTTGGGAATTTTGCTGCTTCGGATTTTTCTATCACAAACATTTTCAAAACTGAAAGATACTAATGACTATTCAATACAGACAAGTTAATGTATGTATTTGGTGACTTTGTATGCAGTACCTTTTTTCTTCTTTTATTGGTGTGTAGAGAATGACTGGTGAGGTGAGAATTGTAACTCATGACTATTCTCCAAGCAGATATTAGAAGGGGAAATTACGATGTTTGTGAATGAACAAGTCAAGGAAAAACAAATTTGTAACGTTATACATTCTAATACAGTAGGTGTATATTATGGTCTGTTTTGTAAAAGATTATGATTTTAGAATTACTAAATGTTTAGAATGGGATGTTTAGAATCGGTGGCTCAGAACGTTGTAAACATTTTTAGTAGTGTTCAGTCTATTCTTAGATCACACAAACAGTTTTCAGAGGATAACATTATTATGTGTAATGTGTTGCTTTTTGACCAGTTCCAGTGTTACACACGGATACCTAGAAGAAACCGGGTTGAAGGTTTAATCTTACACAAGTAGGGTTTCACATCAGAAATAAATGGAGTTGTGACTGTATATCCAGCTTGAAAAGTCTTTACTTTTTCTTAACTGTAACAAAGTGGTAGACTATATTTTTTTAGGTCCCGCCTTCATGGCAAACGTGATAGGGCCCTTAGTAACATACATATAAAAGGCGCTGTAAATATCAAGTTTGGGGCATAGGAATATCTGACACACACAGATTTGAAAGAAACAGGCAATGGCTATAAGTTCAAAACACTTTATTTTCCTGGGGAAGGATGTGAAAACTACAGAGTTCAAACAGAAACAACATCAAGTCTCCTTTCATAATATACAACAGGATTCAATAACAGATGCACAAGACACAAAAACCTGCAACTTTCAACAAAAACAATGAATGAGAATTAGTTTTCTTCTCAATAGTGGTTCTAAGAATTCTGTGATAGTCTATGGTATTACATTTGGCATACATATATATAGGTATGACAATAAGGCACTTCACATCTATATCTTGTGCTTTTGCTTACATAAACATATCGGCCATTTATACAAAATATACATAACAATACTGCATATATATATATCACTTGTCACCTGCATATTGTAAGGCACTTTAGAACATGAAGTTTTCTCTTATTATGTTAACATTTGCATAGAATTCATGCTTTTTTTCTTCACTGAAATGACAAGACTTATAATGCTGTTAAGTTGTGCAAGTGAAATAACTGTACAGTGATTCTGAGTCCATTTTTAAAACCTTAACTCCTAAACGTTTCTTTATTCTTTAAGACCAGTTTAAGAACTTGATGAACTCGAAGTAGTCGATCTGTCCGTCTTTGTTGTGGTCACACTCTGCAATCAGCTGTGAAGGAAAAAAGAGGAAGATTTTAATATTCTTTCAATATCAATATGAGAAATATGCATTGGACAAACATGTCTGCAATTATAAAACAAAAGTGCAAATTAGGGGCCAATGTCGACGGCAAATTTGAATGAAGAAACCGTTTGGACAAATAGGGACAAAAGTGCAGCAGATAAATTTGCCAACCAAAATGTGGCCAAATAAAAACAGTGCGCCCAAAAAAGACTTTTTCCAAACCGGAATTCAATTTCATAAATCACTATACAAAGTGCTGATCCGTCGGTGAAGGTTAGACATCCAGGTAATAAGATACCGGTATGCCAAAAAACAGTTACTCAAGCAACTGGACATGATTTTGGAAAAGTGCTTATAAGGCCGCACCATTTTGATTTTATGGATGACATCTACGCGCGCATTGATTTTCGCTTGTTCTCAAAAAAAGATCACGTCCTCCGAGGCTCTGGCCTGGCTCTAGGCCTGGGTAGTCCACGGTAGTTAACGACAATATGGAGCCGGGCACCCAGGGTACCGAAGCTCCATGACTCAAGAACTCAGTAAATGTGTACAGTGCCGATTCATAAATTCCGCAAAAAGCCAGCATGTGCCGGCTTGTCGTATACGTCACTAAGTACTGCCACAAATTCACAATACCAGCTTTGTATTCCTGTGGTTTGGTAGCATTTTTATTTTGGGCCGGAATTTGCCGGCGCGCACTAGTTTGAGGGCCTTCAGAGGATGTCATCCATAAAATAAAGACAGTGTGGCCTAATTAATGTATAAAAAGGACAATAGAAAGTAGAACATGACACTTACTGCATCGAGTAGATCATCATCGACAGGAAGGTTGCAGCGCCGGCAGAGGTTGCGGACTTCGCTCTTGTCTATCTTGCCGGAGCGATCCTTGTCGTACCAGAGGAACGCCTCACGCAGGGAGCTGTGGTTCATGTAGTTATCCTTCTGCAGCTGCAGGCGGACCTCCTGTACCAGGTCACCCAGGTCTCCTCCCCTGCGTAAAACAGGACATAGCGGTTAGTTTTCATTCACATTTGTGAATTGAGGAACATAATATCGCTCTAAAAAGTGTGCAACAGACACCATAAAAGGATCTGTTACTTTCTTAAAGTGGTAGATTGCCTGTTGTATAACCCAATTGATTTGATAAAGGTAATTGACATTTTGTGTCCAAAATACAGTAAGGCTGATGAAAAAGGCAACGTCATGCTTTCTGTACACTCAGTAGAGTCAAATGTACTACAGGTAAGCTATGTGTGTAGCCTGGTATCCAGTCTGATCGTGGTCGGGGCCAAAAGAGCTCTGTCCCGCCCGCCTCACATAAGCTTCCCGGTGTGTATTTCACGAGAGATTGATTAGCCCTCCACAAATCGTGTTGGAGGGAAACCAAATCCCCAAGCATACTGTCTCTTATTAGCGTAACTCTCCTACCGGGACGGTCTGTTGCACTGGGAGGGGGAAGCTATCAGAGCCCCCCAAGACACAACCTGCCTGAACACCCCAATACCCCCAATCATGATCAGACTGGATACCAGGCTACTATGTGTGATGTTTGAAAGGGAAGATTTGAGTTAAGGAATCAGCAAATAAAATACATCTGATTCAGATTTTATTCTTCTGAGAATTATTCTAAGGAGACTATATATTATATAAGCTACTGGGTTTGTGTATTTTGATACAATGATAAAACATCCGTCCTTACGTTCTCTGGACCGTGACAGGCGTGTTCTTGACGACGTCGTCCGTGTGGGGTCCGTGGCGGGCGCGGAAGGACTGCAGGGCCTGGCTCTGGGGAGGGAACGTGTCGGCGTGAGCCTCCATGTACCGCAGAACGTACTCATCTGCATCTGTGATCTGGAACCTGGGAGGGAAAACATGCAAACTTTAGTAGTAGTAGTAGTAGTAGTAGTAGTAGTAGCACCGGTAGTAGTAGTAGACTGGTTTATTAGACCTTAAGATGTGACATAGATGCCTCCTGGCAGCCATAATGGGCTGAATTGTGAGGCAATTTTACAGATGTGTCAGTCTAACTTAAGTAGTAATAAATTTACAGTTAAGATCATTACAATTTAAGTAAGTGCTTTCATTCACTGTGTGATACACAATCTCTTGATGCACAGGTTAGGGGCTGATTGGGCCTCCTCTATGAAAGCTTGTGGCCATACACCTCTGACTCAAAAGAACCATCCCCAGAACTACCTATAGGAGCTCAAACTCATCCACATCAGTGTTCTGATGTAAGATGAGTTAAAAATGTAAGAAATGTGTTGTGCCTCGATTTCAGCACCAAGGACATCACTAACCCATCACTAAATCTCCGCTAGAATAAAATAGTGCACAGGACAAACCAGACAGCACGTTTGAGACCACCCCTTACCTGTGCTTGAATATTACAGTAATGATTTCTGATACAAATCACACAGCACTTTTGAGACCACCCCTCACCTGTGCTTGAACACCACGATGATATTCCCGATAGCGAAGTCGGCCGGGGAGTAGAACTCAGGGTTTTCTGGGTCCGAGTCGGGTTTGGTGATGCGGGTTGCCTCCAGGAACTTTCCTCCGATGATTCCGGAGTTGCGGACAGGTGGTTCGTAGATGGAGATCATGTCGTCTGACAGGCGGTACGAGATGATGAAACGCCGGTTGTTATCCTCAGGATGGACCGAGTCCTGCAAGAAATTATTAATATGATTATTAATATATTGTAATTAATTAATAATAGAAGTTTATTGCAAATTCATGCCCGGGGGGCTAATTGCAGATTACAAACATAAAAGAACAATGAAATGTAGTATAAAATAACTAAAATCTGCATGATAAAAGGTAGTTATCTAGAGCTATAGCTATGTCTGAAACTATGTCTAAGGGGTTTGATAATGTAAGATTTTTGTGCCAAAACTGTACATATAAATGATTTTTCCTCAAGAAAATGTGTTAAGTGATAGTGACAAAGCTTACATGTACATAATATCACTTTAAAAAGTGTGCAACAGACACCAAAAGAGGATTTGTTACTTTCTTAAGTTATTACTCACCATGGTTGCCTCGAATCTGAGGATTTTGTGGTCGTTTTCCATCATCTTGATGTAGTCCTTCTTGGGAGGCTGTGGGATCAGGGACAGGCAGTTCTGCATGGAGTCCTCCATGGAGCCGAAACCATTGTACGGGGGGATTTCCTGTGAACAACAAAGTTAGAAACATTAATAGGTTAATCTTGACTCTGTCTCTTTGAAAAATAACTTATAATAACAATGGTCTGCCAATTAACAAAGGAGGCAATATAGAAAGAAATGAATTTCATATTAATATAACCTTCTCTCTGGATCCTAACACCATAACTAATTGCAAATTTGGTGCCAAATAGCTAGTGACCTTAGAAGGCTTAGGTTACAGTTACTGTAATATACAGCATGGAGTGCCCTATTAAGTGCTAACAAAGTCACAAAGTGCAGTGACATTTTATGATTGGGGAATATTCATCATTGTTACAAGAACCTGTAAATTTAAGTTAACTTTACCTACAATTGAGCTAACATTACCTACAATGTTGTATGGATGATATATTGAAAGTTTTGCTCCATAAAATGGCTCCACCCAACATTTTTTGTGGGTACTTGTTTTACCTGAAATAAAGAACAACGAAAGAAAAATGGCTCCACCCACCATTTTGGGCAGGTTGGGGTGCGCCTGGTTGACGTCCACAGAGCCCATGGCGCCGCGGCCCAGCCTGTGGGCATAGTACGCCCGCGTGAAGTCATCGCAGTCGTAAAGCAGGAATCGGCGACCGTAGACGTACACGGTCTTCCCGATGTCCAGGTCAGCTGGCTTGAACCAGTCCTTGATCTCATGCTCCGAAAGCTCCATGACGACAGCCGGGAAAGACGCTAAAAATGGCAAAAACAAGTCTTTTTAGTCTTTTCCTGACAATTTGTCACAACAATTGAATAATTTCAACATCCTTAATTGTAGAGTGACGCCTAGACCTAAAAAAATGGGACTGATTTCCCAGCCCCCTTGCAGCTTTGTTGTAAACTGCAGAATGTAAGAATTGCAAAGTTCTTGTTTAACAAGAGCCAGCCAATGTTTCAATGACTGGTTGTTATACGATTGTTAAACAACTGGTTGTGAATAAAGAACTGTGCTATTCTTGTATTCTGCAGTTTACAACAAAGCTGCAAGGGGGAAGGAAATTCAATCATTCACTATAATTTTTCTCATTTTTTTAGTCAATCATTCACCAACCTGATGAAATCATTCATGCAGAATACAAGGATTTACCATTATGAATGACCTTGAGCCATATGTACGACCTTGAGAAAAAGAACTCACATTCCACATTGTCCCTGTTCTTGGGCAGCTTGTGACGGCCGATGAGGACAGGGAAGGGGTCGCGGCCTGAGTTTGGTGTGCGGACCTCGCGCACCTCCACGGTGTCATCCACCAGGTAGTAGTGCAGCACGAACGGGCGCATCTCACCGAACATCTGGTCACGGTCGTCCCACACGCAGTAGAAACGCAACACCTGGGGAATACAATGTAATGACTTATGGTTACTCACTGTGTCTTGTTCATGGATTTGTAGGTGCCATTTCAACATCTGATTGTCTCACACACAGTAGAAATGCAAAACCTGGGTTCACTGTATTATTTACTAGTCGTACAAGGTATCAAAACCTATTAAACAAAAGATACAGTATCAAAAGTTAAAATAAATTTCCATCAAATGAATGTTTTTTAACTTACTCATTATTGCTTTTAACTTGAAGCCATTCAAAGCTCATGCAGTTCTCAAAAGAAACAATACCGGAATTATTGGAACTAGAAAACACAATTTTTTGAAAATCTCTTTAGATGGTGAAAGCAACACTGTAAGAAGTTGCTACAAAAGTTTTTATGAATTTACTGAATTCCTTCCTGGAGACATAACATTTATACTATATTATAATTTGAGTTGTCCAATCACATGACACTGCATTTTACATGATTGACAGCTTCCACCCACCTTCCTGTCCATGGTGAGGAACTGCTTCAGCTTGTCGAAGTCGGACGGTGTCTTGAACATCTGCAGACGAGCAGACTCCACGCGCTGGTAGTTGTACGGGTCGGCCGGCATGGCAGACGGGCCGTTCAGCTCGATCCCCTCACTCTCCAGGTAGTCCTGCGTGAACTTGTCACAGTCCACAATGTGGAACACCTAAAGATTCAGACAAAGAAGGTCAATGACATGAACCAGACTGTTGGTCACCATGGCAACTGGTGTTGGGTTACATCATGTTGTAGTTTTATAGCTGGAGGGATTTAGACTCCTGTCTGACCATATATATGAATGTCTTTGAGTAACAATTATGATGCAGACCACATGCGAAGGTGAACATTATGCATTTGCTTTTATGCAAATGTTACCTTTCTAGTTGAATATTGACTGGCATGTCATAGTGAAGTGCATGGAATATTTACAACAAACCACCCATTATTACAAATAGATAAAATTAGCATAATTATCGATAAAGTACAGCACAAAAGCTTATCACAACGATGAATACATCAGCTAAAACATTCCCACCTTCCCGTAGAAAGTGACGTTCATGCTCATGTTGAGGTCCTTCCAGTGCCAGTGGTTCCCCTGGTCGTCCTTCGGCAGACGCTGACGCTTGATCAGCTTACCCTGAGGCATCCCAGAGTTCTCCACGACCGGTTCGACCACTGAAATGCTGTCATCCTCCAGGTAGTAGTAGATGTTAACCGGTCGGATCCGGTAATGCTCGTTTGGGGACTCGTGCACGGTCTGCTTGTAGTACGCCTTGAACATCAGTACCTAGGACAGGGACACACAGGATCATTATAGGGAAGAACTACATGTATCAGTTTATCCAAGAATCTGGTTTGAATTCTTTTTGAACTTCTTGGTTTATCTGTGTTCAGATGTTTTGTTTTTAGTGACTGTGTTTGTTTGTTTGCTTGTAGTACACCTTGAACATCAGTACCTAGGACAGGGACACACGGAAATGTTATAGGGGAGAACTACTTCTTTCATTTTGAGGCAGCCGCCGTCAACTAACTGAAGATTCTGCTGCCTTTTTGTTGCTAATACGAGATGGGGATCACCAGGTCTCCATCCAGGAAAGCCTTTCCCAAGGGCAAAAGATCGGTGACATGGAAGGGCTTGAACCCAGGACCTCTTGGTTCCAAGCCGAACACTCTGCTGTTATGCCACACGACCCCACCAAATGTATACATGTATTAGTTTATCTGTGTTCAGAGGTTTTGTTTTTAGTGACTGTATTTGTTTGTCTACATTGTAATGCAGTTTGTACATCAGTACCTTGGACAGGGACAGGCAAGAACATTTATGTAAGAATACTGTAAGTTACTTCTATACTTCTCAAGTACATGTACAGTCTTAGACTGGAAGTAGTTTCTATATACATGTACAACCACCCAAATACTAGAAAACAGGCAAAGTTCACTGGGTTTCAAGCTCTAGTGGCCAGGCTGGGATTGGAACCCATGACCGCGCAATTTGAGAGTACCCTCCTGAAGTGCCCTTGGTAACCACTAGATGTTTCCATGGTTCAGCGAACCTGAATACACTGCTCAAAACATCTGCACTCTCGTATTGTAAAAGGTTGGATACTAGTGTAAGGATCTAATATTCCCCCTATCATTTCCATAACTGACTGGTAAAAACAACCAGCCACGATATAAAACAGCCAAAAAAGACTACATACAACAAAAATATATTTAAAAAAAATACTTTACATGGTGCAACTACCGGCTATACTAATACAGATACAAATACAGAACTACTGTAGATGTAATTCAATGCCATGAAATATCGCAAAGTGGAACTCGCTGTCACCAAGTACAGTAGGGGCATTATCATTAGATAACTTTAACAATGTTTAGTGTTAGATGTTCAAGGGTTAGGTGTAACAAGTCGTTTGGTGTGATGTAGCATGCCTGTGAAGCTGGTGTGTTATGCCAAAGGGCAGTTATACCAGCTATACCCATAAAAGATACAGATACAGAAATGTAAATTTTACCTTTTTGTCGAAAGCCTTGTGTGCAGGGATGAAGTCCTCTGGCGGTTGCGGCCTTGCTTGTCCGTAGGTCAGCGTAGGCTTCTGATTGGCCAGTTTGTCAAGTTCGCCTTCCGAAAGCTGGTTGACCTTGAGCCTTTCTCCTCCGATTCCGACAGTTGGGTACGCGGCCGGGACGGAGTAGCCATTTTTGTAGTTCAGGGAGTGGCACAGGTGGAACTTTGTTTTCTGGAAATAAAGGAAAACTTGTATCATTAGTATGTATGTACAAATCTTAAAACATAAAATATAGTTTAATACACAACTGTATAACATTTTACGTGAGGCAATGTAGGATTGTACCATACAAAATGTTATGAAATAAAGTTTAATCTGACATTTTATGTCTGGAAAAGTGTTTGGGAATACAGAGGTTTTTCCAAGGGTTTTCTTGCTGATTTTGTAGTGGAAGCTGGAAATTATGTTAGGCTATCTAATTTTTGGGGTTAAGATTGAGCCGTACAACACTTTTTCAGTAGGAATAAAAAAAATGTTTCTAACATTGACTTTCTTTGAGATTGTTGCTAAGAAGACAATCAACAGAAGGAACACAATGCTCGTGTGTGATCATTTTTGATGACTTTATGAATATGGTCCATTTTGACACCTGTTATGGTTACTATTTATAATAATTTGCAAGCACTAAGGATACGACCTAGTAACTCCCCTCCCACATTTCCACAGAAATCGGTTGGAAATCTTGTCCAAAAATTGCTAAAACCGCATTAAAATGGGAAAATATGTTTCTATTCAAGGGCAAGATTATGTCCTTGGTAACGAAAATATCGAGTTCAGTTGCTCCAAGAAACCAGCTGCAAGCTGCTAAGCTGCACTTAAAAATCTCTCAAAAGGTCCTTAGATACAAACTTGGAGAACAGATGAAAAATTCCGTGGTTCGAATCGCTCAGCGGGTTTTAAAAACACTTACCGTAGGATCGGTGAAGCTATTTCCCGGCAAAAAAGGCAGAGAAGCCATCCTCAAATGTGTTTCTAGGTTCCTTGGGTACAAAAACAGGAGGTCCGGGCAAGAGAGATCCTTGGAAATGAATGGAAACACAAGTAAACGTGTATGTTTTATTTGTGCTTGGCGTCGGCTGCTGTCATGGCGATACGCCCAAACAACTCATTTGCATATCCGGGTCTCGCGGGAATTGGCGAGAGTCTCAGAAGCGCGCGTAGCGAACATGTTTAGTACTGCAGGTATCCGCTGTGATGGCCTGCAATAATATGAACAATCGCTAAAGGTCTCACGCACTTGTACTGTATCAGAGGAAAGCTGTTTACAATTTACTGAGAATGCAAGTTGTGCAATCGGTAATCATGTTCTGGCGATCTTTGACTGAACCTTTCTTAATGATAATCAACGAAAATTTTTCTGTATAAAAATTTACAAAAACAACAACAACATGTATTGGGGCATCTAATCAATTAGTTACGCATCAATATCACTAACTTACCTTCATATACCGCAAAAGCAAACTGTATAAAATTGATTAGCTACTGTTGTTCTTAACTCCAGTGCATATCTTTGACGCTAGGAACCACTTTTCCAACAAACACTAAGTTTTTTTGTAAAGCAACAATACTAGTATGTCGTTGCAGCAGTTTTTCAAAGCCCTATCTGTGAGAAAAATAATTTATTTGCAGTTTTCTTGCACTTGCGCTTCTTCAGTGCATAACTCTGAACTTGGCTTATGAAAACGCGGGCCTGCTTGCGTGGCATCTGAACTATTTCCGTCCCCAAATTTGTTGCACAAACTTTTGATTATGTCTGCGTTCCTACAATGCCTGGGCGAGCATAGGTCGCAGGTTCCGAAAGAATCGTACATGCACTTAATATTCGCATAAAAATTTTGCGTTGCTGGAATCGTACCATCGATGAATGAAAATTCTTGCTAGCCTGTGACCAGCAGAAAGAAACGAAAATATCTGCACTTGACTTGCTTTTGTCTAATTCCGTGAACTTCGGCCAACCGCCGTAACAAGTCGATCGGTGTAATGTAGCCAGCTGCCGCCGCGCCGCGTGCCTGCGAAGCTGGTGTGTTACGCCGAAAGGCGGCTATACCGGCTATATAGATACAGATACAGAAACCGCCGGCTACAAAAGACCAAAAGTAAATGGGTTAATTGAATTTCTGATTTCAACAAACTAGGATTAGTAGGAAATGAAAATCAGCTAGCTGCACAAGCTATGATATTAAAAAAATGATAGTTGGATCAATATGGGCTTTGCCAAACTTTAAAAGCAATAATGGAGAAGTTGAAAGAGAAAAGAGCCGGAAAATATTAAATATTGGTTGGTACAACAACAAACGCTCCTGTTCCCCGCCGCGTTCCGACGTCAACCAGTTGAGACCGGCTGCCATCATACCAAACAAACATCGTTATACATGTATTATACATAACGTTATGCGCTAGTAAACCGGCGTACGGGCAACGGAAAACATTTCTTATGGACCTGGGCTCATGATCTCCAAGGATGCTTAAAAAGAGTTTTTTTAACTCCATGTGATGTCCAAGCCGAGACTTTTTGGTAGCTGCATGCAATGCAGTACCAAACTGGCCAGTTAGTATCCAGGCAATATCTAATATTTTGCCTGGCGCAAGAAAAGATACCAGGACAGAAAGAAAGCCCAATAAAATGCCTAAAAACACGTGGAAAATACGTACGCCTAAACCTCTGCTTGGAGAGAAGACATGAGCAACTACTGCAGGAAACAACTCTCTCATTCACTAAACATTCTCTCAAGATAATCAGTTATAAACTGAAACATCGCAAAATGGATGAATATTGGCAATTTTATGTAACAGTTACATCTTACATGTGTAGTACTAGTATTTTGTTGTTGATATCCCCCTTTCCGTTAAAAGATATTGTAAGAATCCATTGTCAGAATACTTCTTAGTAATAGGTAATGGTGATGTAAGCTTTATTTTGCATTTTTTTTCAAGGTATGATTCCCAAATTAAAGGCAGAAATTGTTTTTTTACAAGCTACAAAATCCAGACATGGCTTTGTTCATCAAATCCCTGGGGATGACGTCATACCCACAGGCGCTCGGCACATGGCACCCACAATGCCCTGCGCTAGCAAGATGTCCGACGCGATGAACTAAAGAAGGAACGAAGAGAGGCTGCCATCCTGTGCCATCACGGTACGTAAACAAAACAATAACAAAAAACATCTAGATATTGTCAAATATGAATATCTAAGCTACACTCTGATGTGTATATTGTGTAGTAACGTTGTATGTGTTACGAGTAACGTGGCCTTGTTTAGGAGAGAAGCTCGTAGTTGTTGTCGAGTAATGCATATTTATTTTTTCAAAGAATGGCCTCCTCGTCGACTCGCTTTGCGAGCTGAAAGTTGTCTCCTTTTTCTCTCCGTTAGATAGCGTGGAATGAGTATTCCATGTGTCCTCGGCATGCATGAAGGCGCTTGGGAGAGCATACACGCGTCGAAGGGCCAGCAAGGAAGCGGGAGCATGAATCCAGGAGGACACGGGGCAGGGTCGGCCCAGAGCGGCGGAACGGGGGGACCAGGCGGCGGCGGTCCGACCAACCTCCCCAGCCGGTCTCAGGACGACGCCATGGTCGGTTATTTCTTCCAGAGGCAGCCGGGAGAGCTAGACGGGGCCGGCGGAGGGTACAGAAAACCTCGCTGGGCCATCGGAGACGACGGGATAGGAGACCAGGTAGGTCTAAAACCTGTTTTCCAAGCCGTTTTCTTTTTTGTGCAAAATGGCCGTTTTTGTTTGGTACATACTCCCGCGCCCACCCCACCCTAAAAAAACCCTAACTCTGCCGCCCTCCCACACAAACTACAGACTAAAACCTGCGTTATTTTCCCTTCTAGATGAGAATGGCACACATGAACAGCGAATTTGAGGCGTTAAGTTTGGAAGGAGCGAGAGACATGAGCGAGGTAAGAGCGGAAATTCCCTCCCTTCTTTGTCACAATTTCTTTGTTACATTTGTACACAACAAGCCGCTACACTGTTGCAAATGTCGCGCCTTGCGAGCTCCTTTTTCTGGCGTATAGTATCTTTCTCTTAGACAAATTTTTGCATTGTTTTTTAAATACTAGCCATTGTTTTTTGGCCAGACGCTTTGTTTTTATGAAACGATTTGATTCTTTTATTTGTTGAATGGCTCATGCATAATTATGAGTGTGAAGTATTGTTATGGTAGGGCTAATTATAAGGGTCAATATTTGGGTCACAAAGAATTTTTATAGACAAACACTGCAAAAAACAATAAAAAATTGTTCTATGTATGTTTAAATTGATGTGTAACATTTGCAATAGTAATTGAACTGTGATTACAGATATTATATAGTTATTAGTTATCAAATCTGTACAAGTAGACTGTTATAGAATATCACTGATGTTATACTAATAGTATAAGTGTTATCATGGGATATGTGACAACGAACGTGTATTATTGTCTGTTTGGACTAGTATGTCTGTATGTTTAACTGGCCTTTTTATTCATTTTCTTAGGAGAATTGTTAAAATTTGTAACAAATCTAGTTGACTTTCTCTTTCAGTATTTTATGTCAAAAAGGTTGCTTACAAAATTCACCAACTTAAGGTATCTCCCAAAATTTATTGTAGTACACGTCAAACTGAAAAGTTACCATTTTTGTTGTCTTTCAACCAAGAAAGCTCTGCTTTTGTATAGTTTTTTTAAGCCCAAACAATTTTATATTATGTAAAACCAGCCACATGAAACATGTTTTATTTGTATGTAATGTAATTCTGATCAGATATTATCAGTTAAGTTGTAACTTGTTGCATGCTGTATCTGTTCCTATCCGTACACGTGGTCAGAGTAGAATTTATCAGTCTGGTTTGTACCAGGATTTTAGAGCTTAGTATGTTTCTCATGTCCTCTTTGTGTCCAAGAGCTTTCGGATTTGTACACAAATAAGCATCATATCATAACAACATTGTCCGTCAGTCTTTGACGATATCATATTGAGAAGCATGTTTTCAAACTTGGTGTTTCAGATTTGCAGAACTGTGTTCCTTTGCTTTTCCTATTATTTTACAGTGGGAAAGGGGATAGTTTTCTAGTCAATTGTAACACTCAAAACAACTGCTAGTACATATATATGTTGTTTAAATTGAGCTTCATTTGCTATAGCCTAATATTGTTAATCTGTACAAGGTCCAAATTACATGTCAAATTTCATGGCATTGGAACTAGAGGTGTTGGTACTGGCAAGACTTTTTTTACCATCTTGATACCAGGGTATAATTGGCAATGTCATGAAAAACTGTGTATAAAGTGGGCCCAGATTTTAAACACTAGACTTTTATGGCACTAAATGGTCTCATTGTCATGATTGTCTTTGCATTAGTGGTTAAAAACAGCCAGTGTATAAAAATGCAAAGATGATATGACAGGGAATATTTCACAATTTACCTGCATGTGCAAAATTAGCTCCCAGATAGTCAGATGTGGGTCAACCTTTTGTCTGTGTGTGACCGACGTTTGAACAAGTCTCACGATCTGAACCCTGATTTTTGTTCCCATAATTCTCCTTACAGACTCGCACAACTTTCATGTCAATAAGTTTGGTATAACAAGTAACAAAAGTCCCTTTATATAACGCTGTACACTGCCTAACCCTGTCAATGGTTTGACATTTAGTACACCATATGTAGGTTTAGTTCCATGTTTGATACATCCCTGTGGGACTTTGGCTATCATTTTGACATGGGAACATATACCTTACCCTCTCATACCAAAAACTTGGATAGTCCTCAAACAATAGTGTTATATATACATGTACGGGCTAAATTTGTCCATCTTTTGGATAAAGTCCAGAAAATACTAGTGCTATTTCACAGTAGTGAATGGTGAAATTTTGCAATCATGACAGCATCTTACTACAAACTCAAAACCCATTAAACATATTTTGTCGTTGTTCTTTACCACAAACTTAAAACACTATGAATTCCTTCTTACCACGAAATTAAAACCTAGCAAATTTGAATCAATATACATCAGTGTTAGTATATCTAAAAGCATTGAAGGTTTTTAATATGCAAATTCTATAACATTCCAGACGGTATTAAGAGTTATGAATCTTGCGAATATTACCCAGTTCTTGTCTGTACTTCAGTCTGCCAATATTCCTTTATGGTATCTTCTATAGTCTATAAAAGTGGAGATTGAGATCTAAATGGTCTTACAGTGGTACTCCATATTTCTGAGTCGGTACTATCTGTGCTCAAAGTCAGTGTGTCAAAATACTCTCCTGCCACTAGAACATTGTCGAGCCGTCAAGTTGAAGTTTGAAATTCATTTTCTAAATGTCAAGAGGACGAAGTTAAAAGCTCTACATTTGTGCTGGATGTCATGTAACGTTTAACACAGATTGTGTGAGAAAAACATGATCCCACAATGTTGTAGTGGCTTTCGTATTTTCATTGGATAATTGTTAAAAAAAACATTTGATGTTTTTAGAGAAATACAGATTTGATTTTAAAAATTTACCCTACATTTTTTATATGGTACTTTAGTGAGCAAATTGTCTTTGCCATATTTCTGTAGCAAGATTTTGGGGCATACAATTTTTAAATCCGTTATCTTGTTTGTAGCCCCAGTTAGTATTGTGTTCATAAAAATAGATAACTATGGCATTGCTTTTGATAGGTCTTACCTTTATACAGTTCCTTGGTATCATTTTATGTAAATATTTAACATTTGGATGGAGGATATTTAACAAAGTATCTTTGATTTTGAAGCATAGTTCCTGACTTGGCTTTCTGACAAACGTATACCATAACCCCCACACTATTGTCACCTAATCTGATTCCCTGGTCTTATATCTGTGAAACAAATTAAATTTAGTCGACTGTTAACAGCTCAAACAGATGTAACCTGCCACTGTTGAACTCTTCTTTCTGTATGTTGAAAATAAAGTAATCAGATTATTATCTGAAAAAGGCGGTCAAACCAAGGCTAGGGTTGACTCTGTTCACGCAAACGTGACGTACGAAGTGTGATCTTTACGTCAAAACAGCTTTGTATAGAAGATAAGAATACAGGTGCAGTATTTGCAATGAGAAATTGATATGGAAAGAAGTCGCATTGTAGCATAGTGGTATTGACTGTAGTAAAGTCTTGTTAGATTTTTGAATTTTGTGTGTATGAAATATTGTAAATTAGTTAATTTTTGCAGGATTTAATTTCAGAGCACAATGGAAAAGCAGTTTTTCACAGCAGTAATGTGTACATTAGAAAAGCAACTTGGCAAACTTGGATTGGTCACAGCAAAAACTTCCAAACTAATTCCACTACAAACAGATGTCTTTAAGCAAATGACCAAATACAAGAATTGAAAATTGGGTCTTTTTTTCTTAAAAAACGTTAATACCAGGACACGTGTACTAAGCAAGACCAGAATTTTTAGTTACACCAAGTCTAACACCAAGTCCATCAAAGTTCATGTACATGGTCATGCATTTCAAGAGGTATTTATGAAGAATCTGTATTCAGAGAAGTGAAGTGATTTGTATGTTGTACACATGGGAAAGTTTTCACAGTTATTACTGACTCTGGGTGTTAGCCAAGATGTCAGTCAACTTGGCCTGAACATTTTCTGCCATTTTTGCAGCTGGAGGTTAGGACCAAGGGCTGGAGAAAGTTAGCAAACTGTTCAGCGACTGAATTTTAGTTAAAGTCTAGTTTTATCCATGTTTGAGACATAATAATCGTGTAACTGTTGCTCTTTCTTGTAAGATGTACATGTACTGTCAAATGGTGTGAAATATTTGTGGAAATGTTCTTTTATGCTTGCATATTTCATGGTGAAAGCTCTCAACGAAGAGCATCACATTGCAAACACAGCGTTACTATAATACAGTGTTTTTTTCAGTCCCAAATACCTCCTGTGGAAATTAAGAGCCCTGCAAAGTTAAAATGATCTACGGTATGACCTTGGTTGTAATCCCCCCTGTCCAAACATTGGTTTCACCCTGTCAGAGTCTCTTCACTACTTGTTTTGGCCGTGGCAGAGTTGTATAAGTCCTGGTTGTACGTGCGCCATGTGGTGTTTTGGTGGTGTTTCTGTGTGTAACACAGCTGTGAAAAGTGTTAGCGTGGTGGCTTTTGGTTGTAAACTTTCCTTATTTGCATGTACAGTAACTGGTTTTCCATGTTTGAAATCTACCTTCATTGTGGCATTTGTAAACTTTAAAAGACTGCATCCAGCTTGCCAAGACTTTTAGGTTGCTTGTAGTAAAGAGGTGGTGTTTTTACATGGTTTTAAAATCCTTCCTACGCAGTTTGAGGCATAGGGCAGTGCCCATCTCCATTTCTGTTGCCCTTGGGCCGCACAGTTGTGGAAGCACCACAACATAAGCACAGGGGGCTGGTCCACTGGTAGTGATGTGTGTTCAACTCCCATACCCATTTTTATGTGAGTGCTGCGTGCTTAACCAAGAAAGCAGCATGTACCATGTTCAACCTGAAATATCTGTCCTTCATTACGTTGGAAGGTTTACAAATATTTTTTTATTGATTTTTGGAATAATTCTCTAAATTAAAAAGGCCGCTGTCCTTAAGGAAAGGTCATGACCATGGAACCATCACGGTTTGCAAGGGCAAATTTTGTCTCACGATCCAGGTTAAACAAAAATCACTACTGAGATTGAACCTCTCAGTTTATCGTAGAAATCTGAATAATAAATTGTGAATGGTTTACTTACAGAGAATTATGCGAATACAAACTATGAAATAAATTTCTTTGTATTGTACTAATGTCAGAGTTCTACTGAAAATTGATTTAAGTTTGTGGCATGTTTTAATTTTGCTAAACATTGGAGACTGCAAAAACAAGATAGTACGTTTTAAACTGCTATAAACGTGAATATTTTATGATGTACAGTAATCAATTTCAACATGTTGTTT